AGATTGATGTTTAAAGCCTCATTAGTGTTTGACAGTATCTCATGAAACAAGATTTTTGTTGAAAAAAAGACAGGTGAGGAAGAACTTTGTGCTCATCCCAAACTTTTTCCAGAATTTGCTGTTTGATTTTTGTCTGGGGGACTATTGGGTGAAGAGCAGATTTATAGTGCTGACCCTTCAGAGTCTAGCAAGGCTGTGCGAGAAGCTGGTCAATGATAGCAGGAAAAGTCCTTGCTATAAATGGTACTAACAAAATCAAGGGGCAAGGTGTCCCTCTGCAACGAATCAGTACCCAAGCCCAGAAAAGTGGACCATCCCTGGGGGGCAGTGGGACGTGCCAGTGGGGCAGCTTCACTCGTGTTACTGCTTTTCTTCCTTATCTGCTTTCTGAAAAGCAATTACTGCCTTGGATTTGTGGCAGCAGGGAATGCCATGCTTGAATTCAAGGGGCTCACCTGATTATTTTGTCCAAACCAAATGATATGTAGCTAAAGCTCAGCTGAAGTAGCTTCATGAGCACAAGCCACGCAGATACAAGCTTGGTTTTGTTGGCTTTTACAGAACTATATTCAGAACAGATCACATCTCTGAGGTTTTTTTTTTAGTTTGAGGTCTTGTGCAGGAGGAAGAGATTAGTGAGTAATTCCTAAACTGTCCTCACTTATTGTCAACAGTATTTTGATTTAATTCAGGTAACTTTTTGTATTTCCTAATATTTTTTTTCCCACTGATTCTGTAATTTTTTGCAACAGTGTTGCAAGCTTAGTCAAAATCTTAATCAAGGCATCTTAGGAATTGGTTGCATTGCAAATGAAAGGATTACTTTAGGTTGCTTGTGTATCCCAGTTTGGAATTGTTATACATATTTGACTGATCTACCAAAGCTTTTGTAAGAAAAGGGTGAGGAGTAGAGAAGGAGAGCATGTATTCACCCCGTAGACCAGCAGGTTGGAAAAGGTCGATGAAAAGTGCACTCAGTTGTGTTCAACAAGCTAAAAAGAGTTTTGAAAGACAGCAACCCTGTGAGAATGGAGGGGAGCAGGTGGAGAGGTACAGATAGCCAGAGAGAAGGGAGATCTGCCAAGCAAAAAGGCAGCTTAACATCCCTGTGCTGGAATCCAGCGGATTCGGGAACAGGTCTGGGCTTCCTGCCTGCCACCAGCAGAAGGGAAAGAATCGGCTGGGGAGGTGGAAGGGTCATAGACTCCCAGGCCCAAGAGCAGCAAGATACATCCAGGACTTTGCAGTACAAATAGCACTTTGTTATTCCATGTCATGCAGGTGGATGACAGGAGGACCGTTAGGCAAATCTTGACCACAGCAGGACACCACAGATGGCAACCAACCCCCCCCTAGAGAGAAAACCTAATGCCAGTCTAATATTTTTGAATGGATCATTTGGAGAGACTCCAAACAGTAAGTTTAACTCCCAGAAAGAATGTGGGATGGGCATGGTTTTTGCAAAGGCACCTGCAAAGTGACTAGGAAGCAAACGAGTTGTAATTCAAGTTTACTGTATGTGAGTTTAAACTGGTTTATGCCTGCCCAGTACCCGTTCCAACCTCAGGCTTTCTGCTCAGTTTATCATCCAGATGCAGCATTTAGCATTTGTACGCCAAACTACTTCACAAATCAGAGCAGTTTGCATTTCACCTTAAAGTAATCAAATTGTCTAATTCCTCAGAAGTTTGTTGTCAGCAGTCTGAGCAGGTGAACTTCAAAGGTAGATCTTTGGTTGTGGTCTTTCTGGCTTTGCCAAGCCCTGAGTGAGACAGTTTATTATTTGCTTTTTGATATCCTGAGCTGCTGGCTGCTACATCGACATAGGAATGTCAACAAGAACCTGTTTCTCACTTGTAGCTTCACTAGACCCAGCCAGGACCTTGTGTTAGACAGATAGCAGCCCATTTTAGCATAACTATTTTTATGCAGCAAGAAACCTTCATTTTAATCTACCTTCAAGCTTGAGTGAATAGATTATTCAGTAATAAGATATCCCCTCTCTAAACCTCCTGAAAATACTAGTCAGCTCCTCCTATAATACTGAAATCCAGAGTTCTTTCTTTCACCATCCAAATAACATTTAATTTTCAGAACATAAGCCCTGCTGGGCAAGCAGTGAGGTGAATGGCACAACAATTTAGAGGTTATAGTAAAAGCGGTGCAGGTCTTGGTGGAAACTTTGTTTGATCATTCAGCAAGATGATGCAATCATGAGGACTATATGCATTGTCTGTGGGATCAAAGTGCTGGGTGTTTCATTAAAAAAAAATGTGAGAGACTCCTCAGGGTTAGTCTGTTTGAAACATGGTCATCATTGCATTAGACAATCTATTCTAGTGTCAGTTAAGTGGCTTTCTAGGGAGTATCTTAATCTAATACCACAGTTAATCTTCTCGGACAAGCCTCCAGTGTAAGTATAAACACACTCGAGTGTCAGTGCCTCTTGGACAAGTGCTTTTTAAGTTGACAGTATCTCACTATTTGAAGAGCTTGCATTAATGGGAAAGAGAATTGTAAACAGCTTGAAATAACATGTTTTACTTGGACTTCAGCAGTTTCTGACGATCAACTTCTATTTCAACTATACCTTTGTGTATTAGGTATATTATTCACTTAAAAGTTATTGTTAGAAAAGCTAAGTACAAAAAAAAAAAAAAAAGGCAATTAAGGTAGCAAGCCTTAAAGCTGTAAGTTATAACCTGAAACCCACACCAATGTGTTCTGTACTCAGTGGTGGTGCAGACGCACAGAACTCAAAAGCTTTCTGTTTATGCACAGTAATTATGGTCGTAATGAAACAGTGGAAATATTTGCTACAGTGAAGCAGTAATTGTAATATTTGGTAGCAGTAATATTTGTTGTAGTAGTTAATAGTAATATTTGTTGCAGTGAAGCCCCTAAAATGCAATTACCCTCTTGTTAATATTTAGTTTCCAACCCAGGGCATGCTAACTATGTTTTCCTTTTTAAGTTCATGTAGTAAGTAACTGAAGTCCAGTATGAGTCCAGGACTAGTGTGTGCACATGCGTTTAAGATCGCTGAAGCAGCGTCAACCACCTGCTCAATTGTCAGCTCCATCCTCTCCCTTTAAAATCAGTTGCCTGAAATTCTACCACCTTCCTTGGAGACCTGCAGTACTTCTCACACAGCAGTAGTTAACAGGAGCACCTGGACAAGCAGTTAACTAAAAGCTTGTAGGCAGTCTTCAGTTTAGCTCACACCCACATTTCCTACCTTGTTCTCTTCTATAAAAGGCCTTCTGAAGGAAATGAAACTTACTCACCTGAATCTTTAGGTTGCTCCACACAACCAGAAAGCAACGCTAGTATCTGCAGAAGTAACTGACCCATAGAACAAGTTGCTCTGTCATGTAGCAACAACTGGGAGGGGCTTATTATACATGAGAACTCAAAAACTCCAACTTGCCAAGGCAGTTGTTCCTTTCCCTCGGTGTCTCTCCCTCTTGGCTCTCCCCTCAATGTCCCCCCAAGATTTTCTTCAGCTATTTTGTGGCTATGCCTGCATGAGCTGGCAGCCCAGCCCACTGTCAATGGGTTTGTTTCATGAAACAGCTGGTACTGAAGTCCCACTAACAGCATTCCAGACACTTGTTCTTCACAGCAGCTCTAGTATTGTCCCACCAACTTGGATGCCCATTAACCATTAGATGCAGGAGTTAAACCTCTGAAGCTCATCTTCCAGTCTATCACCAAAATCCATTCTACTTCACATACTCAGACTGCTCTACCTTGCAAAGCAGGAAAGAATTAGCAGAGGCAGTTAGACCATTAATGTGCTTTTGAAGTAAAATGTTCCACACCAAAGTGCTAATTTAAAAGCTCCTGCAAAACTATGCTTTTCAGACCAGTTTCATCTAGGGAAGTAATATGTGCAAGCTAGAGCTAGGTTCCTCGTTATGGAAAGAAGAGCTGGCTGAAGTGGCATCACATATTTATAACCAAAAATACATAAAGCTGGCAAGCAGAGCAGCTTTCTGCTTCTGTCATATAAAAAATACCAGCTGCTTGAAGCTGGAAGTATACTACTTTATCTGGCTTACTAGAAGGCCACAACTTCAAATAAATCTATATTGAAAAGCCTAGTTTTGATTTTAAAAAATGCAAGTTTAAGCTAAGTAGTTGCTAACAATCCTGTGGTATCATTCCTAGGTAGGCAGAATATACCACATCACTGTTTCAGAGAGAATCCTATTCCCTAGCCACCACAGCAGTCCAGGTTTTTTTGAAGCTTGCTCCCACCCTGACAGTAATTCATTAAGCCCAGACAGAGCTTTCTGACCTTTGCTCTCCCCTCAGCAGGATGATCCGACTAAAGGGACCTACCTGCCAAGGCTTCATTCAAGCTGAGGTGTTTCGTGGAGAGCAGGGAGAACGAAGTACTTTGGGGTTAAACCTTTGTTACTCCAAAGAGGGCCGGCCACTTTTTCGGGAGTTCTTTAGCACTAAGATTTCAGGTCAAGTAACTCACTTCTGTCCAAGTCATTAAAGAGTCAGTTCAGTGGTCAAGTTGTAAAGGACTGTCAGTCTGAAAGTGTTTATTGCTTACTTAATACATGACATAAATTAAAACACTTGAGTTCCTACTACAGTGTATGTAACCACACTTCCTAGTACGCTTCAAAAGCCCTAAGCAGTCAGTACAAAGACACATCCCATAGCCCCCCTCAAAGCAACACAGAATCAAGTCCAGGGTCCAGATTTTCCTGGACAGGCAGCTGCTTGGAATGCTGCTCATGCCTTCATAGCCTACCTTGCTTATCTTCAGAACACAGTAGAAGCTGATTTTTCAGGTTGCCAAATGATTTCCTCAAGGGGATGGCAGAGATCTGCTGCTTCTGCAGTTTGACCAGGTTTGAGATGGGATTTACAGAGCTCCACACTTGAGAAGGTCTCCTACTGAACAAGGGGTGAAATTTAGGGGCCGTGTGATGAATCTAAGCAGGTTTGCCATTCGGTAAGCAGCTTCCAACATCCCATTAATGATGTCCCCACCACTGATGAACAATTTGATCTTCATGTTCAGTCACCAGGGTCCGATTACCGCATTCTTCCCAACGTCTCACCTGTCCATTCTCCACCAAGATAAATTTCCACTCTACTTTGGTGTCTACTGGCAGAGTAACAGTTTCAGACCAGAAGCCATCCTTGTCCTTCTTGAGGGGAACATAGCTTTGCCACTGGCCAAGACACTCGTGGTCACCAGTAACACCAATGAGCTGAGCGTCAGAGTGCGTGACGTAGTGGATGCGGAAAGTCACCTGGATATTTTGGAACATGGGGGGCACAGCTGCAACTCTCTTTGCTTTCAAGTCCCCATCAGGGCAGTCTCCTTGTTCCCATTCCTTGCTGTTGGAGTCTTCCACGCTGCCTTCCTTGCCAGCCTCCTCCCAGGCCAGGTGCTCAGAAATAACTTCCCACTCTTCATGGTCCAAGTCTCTACTTTTAGCTGGTAGACCCGGCTGCTCCTCGCTTCCATCCCTACAGACATCATCAGAGGCTCCTGCCAAGTTCATCACACACCATCCATCGCTTGCCTGTCCCATCTGGGGTCTCGGTTCTCCTGCCTCACTGCTGTACATCCCCCCCAGACGCTCCCTGGAATCGGTGGCAGCCTGCTTAGGGGGCAGCTGCTCCTTCTCCAGAGGTTCACTTAAAGCTCCACCACTTTGGACATGGTTCAGGTCTTTCCTTGGTACCACCACCAGATCCTCTCCTGGCTTCCGAGGGCTGGAGAGGGCAGCAGCCCTGCCCTGCAGCAGCAGAGGATTCTCTAAAAGGGACAGTTAACAAAAAC